CATGAGAAGAGAAGACTCCCTGGAAAAGACCCTGATGTTGGGAAAGATGGAGGGCACAAGGAGAAGGGGATGACAGAGGACGAGATGGTTGGACAGGGTTCTCGAAGCTACCAGCATGAGTTTGACCAAACTGCGGGAGGCAGTGGAAGACAGGAGTGCCTGGCGTGCTCTGGTCCAGGGGGTAACGAAGAGTCGGACACGACTAAACAACAACAACCTTGGTTATTGAACTTAATCTGTTCCCGGAAGTCCGTTCTACTTCCAAAACCATTTGAAAACCGAGGTGCGGCTTCTGATTGACTGCAGGAACTTCCTGCACTCAAGCGGAAGCTGTGTTGGATGTTTGGCTTCCGAAAAACGTTCAAAAACTGGAACACTTACTTCTGGGTTTTCGGTGTTTGGAAGCCGATTTGTTCGACAACTAAGCCGTTCAAGAACCAAAGTACCACTGTATGTCTAAAATAAGGATGGAGCTCTGAAGAGGCATATGCTGGCTTCATGGTTTTCCCCGCATTGTGATTTTTTGCCATTGTCCGCTCTTATGATTTGCAGGAGGCAAGGGAGAGCTGAGCCAGCAGAGTTCACAAGGGCTGCGGGAATCAAGAGAAGATTTGGTTCCCCCCCACATTTGCATAGCCTGCACGTCATGCTTCGCAATACATTGCCAGGCCAAAAATTACGAAACTGTTATCATGATATGGACTTCAAACCTCATTCACATCTGATGTCAGGACTCCATGACAATGGAGTTGGGGAACAATGATGGGGAACGGCACACAGAGTCAAATGTGGGTGGGGCGGCAGGGCAGGGCAAGGCGGCAACCCTGGTTCACTTTGAGCAGCAAAATGGGACACGCCAGCCCAGATCTGGAGGTTCCCCATCCCTCTCTAGGACAAGAATGGGAAGGCTGCATCCCTCCAGGACTTACTGTACTGCAACTCCCATCAGCCCTGCCCGTTGGTCGTGCTGGCTGCGTCTGATGGGAGTTGGAGTCCACCGAGTCCTGGAGGGCACCAGGTTGGGGAAGCCTGAGTTGAAGAATGGAAAGTTGGTTTGGTATGGCTGGCTGGGCTCTGAAATGTTTGATGCTCACCATCCCTAGACCACACAGTACACTTCCAGTACAGTGTACTAATGCCAGTGTCCTGGAAGATCATCAGATCATCAGTGACGAAGCAATGGTTCTTCAACATCAACTTCGTTGGACTGGTCATGTTGTGTGCCTGATTATCGTCTTCCAAAGCTACTACCTACTCTGAACTTCAAAATGAAAAGCGTAACACTGGTGGTCAACAAAAGAGGTTTAAGGCTCTCTCAAGGCAAATCTTAAGAAGTGTAGTATAAACACTGACAACCGGGAAACACTGGCCTGCGAGCGCTCCAGTTGGAGAACAGCCTTTATCAAAGGTGTCATGGGCTTTGAAGACGCTCAAACTCAGGACGGAAGTGAGAAACGTGCTAAGAGGAAGGCACGCTTGGCAAACCCTCACCGTGATCAACTCCTGCCCGGAAACCTATGTCCCCACTGTGGAAGGACATGTGGATCCAGAATTGGCGCCCGCAGTCACTTACAGACTCACTGTTAAAAATGTGTTTATGGAAGACAATCTTACTTGGCTACGAGGGATACCAAAGAAGAAGAAGACCACACAGCAGACCACAGTTAAGCCCCTGGGCCAGGGGTAGGGAACCTTTGGTCCTTTGACTGTTGCTGAACTATAGGCAGGGCTGTCCTAATGTCCTAAGACATTTTGGCACCTGAGGCTAACCACAGAATACTGCCCACCCACCCCTGCCAGGGAAGAAGTGGTGAGTGAAGATGTACATCAGGACCAAGGAGATAATTAAAATCTACATCAGGGCCAATTGGGAACTAGGATTGAAGGAGACCAGTAGCGCCCCCTATTTGCCAAGAGACGCTGTAGAGGCTGCATTGCGGGGGCAGATCTCACCTCCAAGGATTGTGTTTCAGTTGTCAGCTGAGGAATGGCCCCAGAGGCCACATTTTCTGCCTCTGTGGATCCTGCCCCCCAAGGCAGTCGCCTCTCCTTGTCTCATGAGTGACTCTCATAATCCCTGGGCATTGGCCATGCTAGCTGAGGCTGATGGGAGTTGTAGTTCAGCCACATCTGAAGGACCCAAGATTCCCCACACCTGCTCTGAACCATGAATTAATAAACCATGGTTAAGCATTCTGTGTGAACCAATCCGTTAAGCAGAAATCCGTTAAGCCTTAACTATTAAGAATTCCAGAATCTCTGCCGTCTTTCTTTGCAAATTTAATCCGCACCAGTGGAGCACCATGATTCTTTTCTCTCCCTCTTTTTAGTATATCATGCAAGACTGATGTATGCCCAACACAAGATCTCCTCTGGTGGATTTTGCTATCGGTTTCTGACTCCCACTCGTTTTAACAGCTACAGGAAAATGACTTTTCCCACCTCAATTAGGCTGCTGAGATGAAGACAGCTCACCAGGAGGGGGTCTGTGTCTGAAAGGATTGCAAGTTCAGTCCTGAAAATAAATCCCTAGGCTCTGAGTGTGCTCAGAAGTACTCTGATTTGTTTATTTTTTTAATTAAGAGTATGTCTCTTGCACCCAGCTCCAGTTGGTAGGTTTTGGGGGGTCCCAATATAAACTAGAGTAGATCTGACAAGCCTGAAATCTTACCGTTCCTGACCTAAGGAATCCCCATTGACATTTCTTCTTGCATTTCAAATGTCCCTTGTGGCAAAACATTGGGAACATTAATTTTGAATGGTGCATCTTAGTTTTTTTATATTTTTAAATCCTAATAGGATTCATGCCTAGGTCCAAAGTGTGGGATTCCCTGATGCCTTTCATTTTATAATTTGGACAATTTTGTACCACTTAATGACAGCTGTCTCTATGTACAGGACACTCAGTGAAACAAACAAACAAAATGAGTTAAAACTCTCATATCAACATTCAATTAAAAAGCCATATTAGAAGGAGAATCTTGCATTTTCAAGTACTCACCCCTCATATTTTATTTTGTGCAGAGAAAAGTCAACATTTAAAGAAGTGTACTGCGCTGACGATATTTATGATTGGTTTCAACTGGATGTGTGTGTGCATGTAATCTTCTGGATTTTGAAATGTATGGGAGTTAATGAGCAAATTTTTACTCCTTATAGCCCCCTTTTCCTCCAGCCCCCACCCAGAAAGAATCCAACAAGCCCCCAAAAAAGTCTCATCACAAAGATGCAATCATATTTCTAATCAAACCATCTCAACTGGAGATTCTGTGATGAAAGGACTCTTAAACGGAAGAGGCAAGACTCTCGATACGTATAACAGCCACTTCATGTCCGTATCATTAAAAAAAGGGGGGGCATCTTCCAAAGATGGGGTCGCTAATACTTCCCTTCTCTGAAACTGACCTATTGCCACTTTTACAAGTTCCCGTCTGCAGCATGAAACATTTCATAAACACACACATTTTACTCTCTTTCAAACTGCAGCCGCGCTCAATCTAGGAAACCTTTTTGGCACAAACTCCAGAGATCCAGAATTATCCCTTGGAGACAAATTGGCTCAGCTGAGCAGAAAATAGGGCTGGGGGGGAGAGAGAAAAAGAGAGTGAAACAGACCCCCTCCCCATGCAAAAGCTCTGAAATGTGTCTTTGTCTCAGTTCTCCAAGGAAATGGGGTGTCCCTGTTCAAGGGGGGGGGTGGAGCTATTCCAAAAGAAAGGGACTGGATCTTTGCTATTTCATTTTATTTGACTTGAAAAGTGTCCAGGGTTGGGGATTTGTGGGTGAAGGCGTTTGGCCACGATCCAGGGAGGAACGGAGGCAACTTCCACCTCGTGCCTTAATTGCTTTATGAAATTATGGGTTGGTAACGGATCCAAGATAAGCAGCCTGTAACCCTGAATTTAAGACTACTATTGGTAACGAGGGTCTTAATCCCCACCAACTCCCGAGGCTCCCCATCTAAAGCAAACCTCAGCAAGTTACTTCATATGTCAAGATTTGTTCACCGTCTGTCGTTTTTAAAAATACACACGCGTCCCAGGGAGCTGCACAATAGCAAGAAGTGTGTGTTAAAACCTCGTTCACATCCCACACAACATATACGTATGTGCAGTTTGAAGCCAACACAGAAAAAAGTCGAATTTAAATTACATGAAAACTGGAGCGACTCAAGAGCAAACTGATATGTACAAGGATCTAGGCTGCTAGAATTATAACGTGCAAATGGGAAGCTGGAGACTTGCTCTGCCTCCGGGGGACTGTTAGTTCCTACTCAGAGTAGACCCACTGAACTCCATCAAGATGACGAGCTTGAGTCCATTCATGGGTCTGCTCAAAGTGCAACTTGGTGGGCTTACGATCTGTTGGACCTAAGGCAGCGATGCCCATTAATTTCTGTCTACTCTGAGTAGGGATCTGCACCATTCACATGCCCTAGATACACATCCTACCGTGGATTGGGAGTGGGGAGGGGAAAAATTGATACGGATAAATAGGTTATATAACACCTCACTTCCGTGGTACCTTCTGGATTTCTCATTCTCAAAAAGCCCCAAATCTCCTATCATCTATCTATCTATCTATCTATCATCTATCTATCATCTATCTATCTATCTATCTATCTATCTATCTATCTATCTATCTATCTATCTATCTATCTATCATCTATCAAAGCGACTTACGAAAACATTTATTTCATAAAATTTATATACCGCTTGCTCGCTTTAAAAATCCCCGACGACTCCTCACATGTCTAAAATGACTACCTTATGGGGAGATAATCCGAACATTATTTAAAATTCTATGCCAGAACCCTCACCTTTTTAAGAATAAAGAACCCAAGGACAGCTTAGGAAAGGCATCCACCCACCAAATATTCCCCCTGTTCAAAAATTTAAAAAATCTTTTGCTCGGAGCGAAGTCTGGGGAGATAAAGAGTTCCCAGCACGCGCCAGGCTGCCGCGCAGATGCCGCGGTAGATGCGCGCGTGCGGAGCTTACCTGCTTGCTGCTAAGCCAGCGCTGGGAGGCAGCTCGGCTGGTCCAACGAGGCGCTGCTTTCTCCTGAAACCCGAAGTGCTGAACGGGAGGGAGAGGGGAAAATAGAGGGGAGGGGAGAGAGGGGTTGGGTTTAGGAATATTCCCCCCCCCTTCTTAAAAAAAAGTGAGGTGCGGGGGGTTTTCAAGAGCAGGGGAAAAACTGGGAGGACTTTTTCTAAAGCTCCCAGACTTAGAAAGAAACAGTGTTTGAGAAGGCGCATGCTTTGCTGGGGAGAGGGGTGTGGTTGTGTGTGTGTGTGTGTGTGTGTGTGTGTGTGTGTGTGTGTACGATTAGGAGGGGAAGTGATGGATTTCTATGAATTGCAAAGAGGAGAAGGCGCGCTCCCGTCGCCAGGCGCCCCCCCCCCCGGAGCAGTGCCGGGGAGCCGCTGCTCGGTCTACAGACAAATGCACACGCACACAAAGGAGACAAAGGGAACTGGTACCCAGTAGCCTAGATGTTTTAAAAAGGCGACAGTCCAGCAATTATATGTAATATTCTCTCTCCCAGGGAGATGACGGGAGTGGGGGAGAATTGGCTTGCTGTGGGGTGGGAGAGAAAGGGGAGTCTAGCCTGGCGCTCCTTTCCCTCTGGGTGGTGGTAGGGGGTCATTTTCTCTCCCCCTCTGCACCTCCATCATCTTCATCCCGCCTTCCTCCTAGAGGATTGTGGGAAACTCCCAAAGGGTAAATTGATGCCTTTGAGGCGGGGAGAGGGGTAATGACAGCGAGACCCAGAGGGTCCTGCTGAGTTGGTTAAAACGATTCTCTTTGCTCTTTCCACGCACACTCCCCTAGCTCTGCCCAGGAGAATAGAGGGGAGGGGTCTCCACCTGGGTCTCCCGCCTCTAGATCGACTTTATTCATTGTGAAAACTGATGACACCCTTGCTACCAGTTATGTGCATCGGGGGTTTTTTCCTTCGCTGTTCCGTGGTTTTTCAGCTTTGCTAAATCAATTCTAAACCCGCTTAGCATTCAAAAAATAAAATAAAAACTAAGCGAGGTGCAATAGGCAACAAAAAGAAAATATAAATGGTGTTCGCTTTTCCCTGTTCAGCTTTATGACCCCCCCCACTTTTGTTATAACTAACAATACCCCCCGCAAAAACATAACACTTCTAAACTGCTCCACATTAAAAAAAATATAGATTAATCAATATACTGTGTACGATATTCAGCCAGGAGAAACCCCAACACCTGCTATGACAACGCTGATACCACCTGTGCGTTTTAAATTCGCAGTTTTGTGCAACTGAAATCTGCGGGTGATGAGCAGCTGTTAAAAGCAGAGGTGCGGGCGAAGAGAAGAAAAGTTGGCAACCTTTCTCCGTTCAAAACCATTGCGTGCCAAATTACTCATCTGCCTAGGTTTGCACCATGAGCAGCAGTGGGTCGTAGCCATGGGCTGCCCCCCTAAATAAATAAAAATTATTAAAAATACGTAGCAAACTGAGGTTCTGCACCCCAAAGAAAGGCCTGCCCACCTAACAAAAGGCCTGCCCCCTCCAAATCCTGACTATGCCGATATTCTCGGAGCTCACCATCAGAAATGGACATGACTTACTTAGGCCCGTTAAACTCAAATGGTCTACTCTGAGTAGGAACTGGAGACCACCCAGGGTGTGGGATCTGGATGCAAACTGGGGCACCCTAAGAATCTCATTTCTAGTCAAACCGAAAGTTGCTACTAGTCCTCAGGGCTAATTTAGGTCCATTGATTTCAATGCGCCTACTCTGAGTAGGACTTAAGTTGGATGCCACCTGTTAGATAGTGGGTAGACATAGCAGATGATGCAGCGTTTTCTACAAAGCAGCTCTTTATTTGTAAGCTGGAACAGAACTGAACTGAAGGGTTCAGTCAGCCTGCTTATAGAGCTCCAGTACAACGTAACTGTAACAATTTTCTAAAACTATCCAATCACTGAACGTCACTTTCGATCCCTTACTTGCATAACTATCTACAGTATCCCCCTGCTGGCCCAGGGTGAGAACTTCAGTACATAACACCACCCATCCGGAATCGTCTCTCCCCCCTTCCTCATCCCAAATATCCAGGGGGTGTGCAAGCGAGTGAGTGAGACAGGGAGATTCATCTGCGAAATTCTTCGGCTCAGGTTTTTTTTCCAAAGGCATAGGAGCAGGGCAGGGGGGAGAAGTTGGCAACCTTTAAGCCATGAGCAATTGAGAGGCGGACGAGGAGAGTTAATAAAATAAAATAAAATAAAATAGCCCCACTGTTGGAGAGGTGCGCTTAAGTCTCCGCTGGACAGACGGCGCGCCAACGCCACGGAGATGGGCGGCGCGCACGGGTGCCAAAGCGCCCCGGCGCTAAGACCTGCGAGGCGAAGAGAGGAGCGCGGCGAGGACGTCAGGCGGCCGCGTCGTTGGGTCGGCAGCTCCTCCTCCGGCTGCTCCGCCGCCAGCAGCTTTCCCGGCGGGGCGGAGGCGCCGTTGTTCCCCGCCGCCGCGAGCTCGGGGTCGGGCGAGAGGGATCCGCGCTGCGCCCTGGAGAGAGGTACGGTGGAACCGGTGGAGAGGCGTTTCGGGGTGCGCGCGGCTTCGCGGCCCGATCCGGAAGCTCTTTACTCTGGAGTAAACCCAAAGGGTCTCGAGTGAGAGGCTGGCTACCGAGCAGATGTCTGCCTTGCGTTTTGCAGGGGCTGAAGGTGTGGTTTTTTTTGGGGGGGGGCAACCTTTAATGGTGCGTTTCGATCAGGCATGTTTACGCAGAGAGAAGCCCCACTGGACTTACTCCCGTGTACGCCCACCGGATTCAAGGAGTCTTTGTTCCAGGTATAATAAGATGCACAGGAACCAACTCCTAAGGGCCAAGGTCCTTTTGCCCCCCCTAAAATATTTGAGGGGGCTGGCTGGGACCCCACCTCCAAAGTTGATGGGCATTGTCGTTCAAATTGTGTATGCCCGCCACGTCTGGGCGGGGCTTACTTGAGCCCCCCCCCCATATTTTATTCAAATTGGCCCCTCTGAAAGGCAATCCTATCTATGGAGGAGGAAAGCATGGGCTGGGGGGGGGGGGGCGGTGGCAAGGCAAAACAGCTTGAGGGCACCAGTCTCAGTTGGTTACTTCTGAGCAAAACTTTATATACCGCCCTATACCCAGGGGTTGCAGGGTGGTTCACAAAATAAAATCAAGATATAAAATCACAAAATACATAATAAAAATAAAAACAACAACCCAATACCCCCCCCATTTACATTGCACTGTAAATCCCACTAGCATGCCTAGTGTTGCAGTCTCTAAATTGGGTTCCTTTCAGGTTAACCTTAGGGGGTGCATCCAATTTAAGTTATGCTCAGAGTAGACCCATTGAAATGAATGGACGTCAGTTATACCTATCTACTGTGACTAGGACTAGCTTTGCATGCGACCCCACCTGCTTTCAAAAAGAAAGTTACTAGTCCTCATGGCTAATTTAAGACTGGGTCTACTCTGAGTAATACTTGGTTGAATACAAGCCAGAATCTTCTCCTTTCCCCTCCTCATATCTCCATGCTATCAGTCTTTCAGGTACCGAGACTCCCTTTGTAACCATCTTTAAAAAGTTGCTGCCGTGATGACCACTTTAACCCGACAGGATCTCAACTTCGGACAAGGTACTGGCACGGTTTTTCTCCAAAATTTTCAGAACAGAAACCTACTTTGACTCCCAGCTCTATTAAAAACCAAGGGGAGGGGAACCCATGTATCAGGGCTGTGCAAGAGACCTGCATCCATCTCCCAGTGACCAACCTTCACCAGTATTTTCGGTAGTGCCTTCCAATTGCACCAAAACAAACACCACCCACTTCATTTTTTATTTAATAATTTTATTTAATAATTATATTTTGTCCATCTGAGGACAGTATAAAACCACAAAAGTACATAATATACCGGTAATAACAAACAACACAATAACCCTCCACCTGTTACATCCATACCCTTCCTTTCCAGTTGTAGCTGATGTCCTTTCTGAGTTCCTGGAAGTAGCCATTCACCTCATCCTTTATGTCCGAGAAGTCTACCCCACCGGGATCTTTCAGAAAAGGAAAAAATACAATGTACCTGTCCAGGTGAGTGATGTGACTGTCTTTCGGGTGGACCACGCAAACATACCTTTTAAGGTTGGCCAGTTACTCATCATATCACTTTACCGTCATCTGATCCCCAATTGTTATTAAACCACTTTGCTGAAATAATTAATTTTTTTTTTAAATACTTTTCAGGTTTATACATTTCATTAATTTTACAATCATTTTAACATTTCAAAACTTGAGTTCCTTCCCCCTCTTTCTGTGGTTCCTTAAAGTTATTTTCTAATAACTTCTGCATATCCAAATTCATTTAATTTGCTCATTTATTTATTTACCGTACTTTAAATATATACTCTTATGGAACTGCAGGTTATTACAGAAATCCTGGCAATGTTTTTATCTGTGTGCAATTTGTAGATATTCAAGAAACCATTTTCATTCTTTTATAAAAAGTTTGTTATCTTGATTTCTTATTCTTCTGGTAAGTTTCGCCATTTCTGCATACAGTCAAACCTTGGTTCCTGAATGGCTTAGTTGCCAAACAAATCGGCTCCCGAACGCTGCAAACATGTGCTCCAGTTTGCGGACGTTTTTCAGAAGCCGGACGGCCAACGCAGCTTCTACTTGATGCAGGAAGCTCCTGCAGCCAATCGGAAGCTGCACCTTGGTGTTCGAACAGTTTCGGAAGTGGAATGGACTCCCGGAACAGATTAAGTTCAAGAACCAAGGTACCACTGTATTCCATAAGATTTTGTATCCATTCTTCCTAATGCTTTGCTGAAATCAAGTTAAATTATGTCACTCGCATTCCCCCAATTTGCTAATTTGTAACATTTCTTTTAAAAATCAGTCTGGCAGGATTCCCTCCCCCCTTGACAAATCCATGCATATTTATATGCAACTTGAGATATTTGTTTGAACAGATGTCCTGCCACCCGGAGCTGAATCAGTACATCCAAGACACACTCCATTGCATCAAACCTTTGCTGGAGAAGGTAAGTTTTTGACGGTCAGCACAAGATCAGGGAATTACTGGAACTCGGTGGTTCATTTTATCCAGCCCCAAGACGTTTTGGTGATGGTAGGTATAATCATATTGGACCAATGGGTGTACGCAGACTTTGGTGTTGCACAGAGCTCTTCCACAAACAGACTCGAAGTAAGAAAAAAACAAGTTCTTGTGCTCTGTTGCTTTTCAGAATGACGTGGAAAAAGTGGTGGTGGTCATTCTGGACAAGGAGCACCATCCTGTGGAGAGATTTGTCTTTGAAATCACGCAGCCACCCCTGCTGTCTATCAGGTGAGGCCTTTCTGCCCCCAAAAGGCTGTACCAAACTTTGCAGAGGCAGTGTGGTGTAGTGGGTAGAGCTTTGTGGCTTGGTGGTGATTTGAACCTGGATCTCCCCGGCGCTGATCCAATGCTCTAACCACTGCAGCATGTTGTCTCTCATCACATGCCTGTATTGAACTAACCACACACTTTTCCAACATCCTGGTTGTGGACAAAGCACCTAAAGGAAAACCTGAATGGAGCAGTCTTATTAATCTGCCTTTCAGAACACGGGTAACTCCAACTCCCATCCCCACTGGCCATGTTGGAAGAGGCTGAGGGGGCTTTTGAACCAAACAATGTTTTCCCCACTC